ATAGTTAGCATAAATGTGTGCATGTACACAGTAGGGAGAGAAAATAGCAAAAAGAGGGCTCTCATTCATCCTGATCTCTCTCAATACCTGTTCTCATTTCCCCATTACTTTTTCAAGATTTTAGCATATAGACATGCAGTCGCAGCTAACAACATCAGCTCTAATGACATTATAAACAAAGTTTTATTATATCTGTAGCTATTAGCATTTCCATTGTTTGTATTTTTAACACCATTTGCATGTGCTTTTAATAACTGAGATAAGAATATTGGTTATAGTCTCCCACATCTATGGGTGCTGAGATGGATACAGGATGTATTCTGTTCTGGTGTTGTGTGTTTAGCCTAGCTTAGCATAAAGACTGGGAGCAGGGCTAAACAACTCACCTGACTCTGTCCAAACATCTCTAGACCTGACTTATTATTACCACATCTGGTTTGGTTAACCTGTACACACCGGCCATCACATCGAGGTTGCCAGGTTTGGAACTATCATGTGTGTACAGAGACCAAAACCAAAACCTGAGTTCACCAACCATTTGGCAGTCTGTTTGATAGCCAAAACTGCTGGGCGGAGGGATAAACTTTAAATAATAAACGTTTGTCAAGAAATAGCTCTACAACTTGCTTTAACATGTGTTATTATGTTCGGTTTAAACAAACCAGATACTTTGAGAATATAAGTCAGCTTTAGAGAGGCTGATTCCAGTCTTTAGGCTACGGGATAGGGATGCTAACTGAGACATGACGTTGATATCGATCATCTCATCTCACTCTCGGAAAAAAAGCAAATAAGCGTATTTCCCAAAATGTCAAAATATTCCTTTAAGGACATGAGGATATTTCTGTTAATAGCAAAGGAAGGAAATTTATGTGTTTTTCTATCATACTTTGGTTCCCCTGCTCAGTCTGGTTGGTTAAGTTGTTACATAGGCTCCATGGTCCTCAGAGGATGTGTTTTGCTAATAACCCATGAGGAAAATGGGTCAGCCATAAAACATCAGCTGAAACTGTTGTTAACTTCTCATGTCAGAAAGCATGAGTGCAACTCCACCACCCCAATGCAACCTCCAGCAGTAATAAAACATAAGAGGACCTAACGCACATAGCCAGAAGGCAGCCGGGCCTCAGTCGTCTCTGTGACTTAGTGTTGAGCCATTGCCAACAGAGGAGGCCATCCATAATTAACCCTGCACTGTCAAGTCAAGACAGCAGTCATAACATGTCCTCACATGTCATTTTAACCTTTTTCCCTGCATCGTTTTCTTTGCCGTCAACTCATCACCCAGATCTGTTGTTCCCTGCATAAGGACTTCTGTGAGTGAAGGCAAGGGAAAAGGCTTTGATCTACTGTGTTTCCTTCACAGCGTCTCTCTCAAAGGCTTTGGACCGCAAATGATACTTGGAACAGAGGGAGAAAAATGTGTTTCTCATTTGCTTTTGTTGAGGGTGATTTCTGTGATTTATTCCCTGTTAGTAAGGAGTGATGGGGCTATTTGGCCATAGGGTAATCATTGCTATCAACATCTGTTGTTCTCAGCAAAAACCAAAGTGTATTGTTTCATTTTCTTCTTCCCCCTCTGATCCCTCTCTCATCTCTCTAAATCCTAATAAATCTTTGTATGAATAAAGATTTCATTAATTCCGGAGATGGGGAAATGGGCAATTAAAATGTGTGAATCAAAGCAGAGAAAGCAGAGAGGTATAGGGAGTGCAATTGACTGAGTCAAAGGGTCAAAAAGGCTAAGTCAAAGAGAAAGAAGGAACATGAAAAAGAGCAAGAGACAATGATTAAAAAGTGAAAGAAGGAGATTGATTTGCCTATCTTTGACTAGAAACTGAAATAAGGGCCAATCAAATATGTGAGGAAAAGTAAAGTGAGAGAATTGTTAGAGCAAGAGCGTCAAATCAGAGAAAGGAGCCATATGGACACAAAGAGACAGAGAATGGTGGAGAATGAGATTAAAAGATTGATTTGCCTTAAACTGAAAACTGCTATGTGGAGAAACGAAGTAGAAGAGAGGGGAAATAAGAATCAAAAGGACGAAATTAGAAAGAGTTTTTAGCCACGTTAGCTGTGTAGCTCTAGGGATTGGCAATGTCGACCTGTTGGTCAGTTCGCCACACAAATGTCTCTAAACTTTTGGACAGGCAGTCATGGTGTTCAGAGGATGAAGCTATCTGACTTTGGGGATCTGTAGTCTTTTCCACTGGTGCCACCATGAGTTGATTTGAAGTGAAAAGTCTCTGCAATATTATGATTGTAAGGACATTTGGTAAAAACATTAATGTTGCCCTCAGGATGAATTGTAGTTGATTAATAGACTTTTTTTTACAGTGATTATTATACATATTTAAATTACTATATAAGTTACCACTATAATTGCAGACATTATTATTACACATATTAGTTAGCTTTGCAGCTTAGATTTATCACATCCACAACCAGTTTACTTAAAGATATTAATCATAATTGTATGTTGATGGACTAAACTAATTTTCATCGTCTCTTTTGGGGCTAATCAAAACAACGTCCATGGACCTGGTGGGTTGGACAGATTGACTTTTCATGTTGTACCATCATCAAGTCACAGGTACAAGGACAGAACCACTTGTGTCCAATTATCTCACAATCCTCTTGCCAATAAATCCTACCTCAATACCACAGGCGATAGCAAAAACATGGCGAGGACAGGGGCTGATACAGTGAAAACTGGGTTAGAGTTCAAAGGGCCGAGGAGAGCAGGCACTGCTCTGATCTTTGGCAGGGGAGTTAAAACATTAACATTCAACCTGCACAGCCAAGCCTTACCCCTGCATCTCCTCAAAGACAGGGAGAAGGTTGGTACAGTATGCAGAGGGAAGATACATAGAGTATGTGCAACATACAGTATCTGTAAATATGTGAGTATGGGTGTGAACTTGTGTTTCTAAACTGAGAGCAGTATATAGGCCACATATAGTGTATATATTCTGATTTCAACACTCAAGAGCTCTATCAGTGGGATTACATGAGTCCATTTATCATTCCATATGAGTGTGGTTTACATGGGTAATTGTAAATTAAGTGGATTACTGTGCAATATAGTCCCTGAGGGAATTAGAGAATCTCTGAATGGATGCAGAATCCTATCGTAGTGTAGCCAGCAGGTCCACAGCAGCATCAGCACTTTCTGAAGCAATGATATCAGAATGAGCTCCTTTGAATGATACTGATTTAATATCAGCACGGTAGATTTAATGATACTGACACACATTATGTTTCAGCTCCCTGAAGTGGGGCCGATGATTGGCACATTCTGCCACAAGCGTGCTTAAGAAAATGTGCTTCATGGGATGTACTGTTCACGCTTTCATAAGCAGGAATATTTTCATTCTGTTCAGCCAAGACAGAGGTTTTGTCTTTAACCACAAAGTTGGGAAATAAGTGAGGACAAAGTATATGTCGTTGTTCTTTCAGGGCTTTGCGTAAGACGGAAGTATAAGATGCATTCTTTTTCCTCCTGGCTTCAGTGGCCTTTCACCATCCAAATCCCCTAAAATCCAAATCCACCTCGAATGAATTGCGGTGGATTACAAATGAGGAAGCAGTGGCAGGGATTTCTTTTTTAATGAGGACAAAAACCTATCACCACATCTAACCTGAAACGCTTCATTTACTGCTGCCTGCCAGCAGCCACTTCCCAGTAGAATTTGGGGGTTAAAATTGTGGCGTTTCAGTGCAGTTCGCTCAGGGCCCTGGCAACAAACGATGGCCTCCCTCCCACACCCCCGAACATTTAAACCCAGCTCAGTTTGCCCAAAGCAATCTCAGCTCGGGAGTCGAAAGGTCACTTTAAATAAATAAAGAATGGGGAGATCACTCAGCATCCCACACACAGAGTGAGCAGCACTTTGAAAGGATAGCCAAGGCTACACCATTTAGCATTCAGTAGCCTGAAGCAATCCGTGAGGCTGGCAGTCTGAGAACAGAAAGTCTAAGTCCAGATTGACTCCCACTCACTTGCCATGGCTACATCAGTCACATTGCTCTTTTAGCTAAACTTTTGACCTGTTTGTCACTGCACCGTTTGCTGTTGTCAGCTAAGAGAAGACACAGCTACGTGGAATTAATTCATTGCCTCAGGTTCAGGCCCGCCCAGTGTTTTGACCAGCATATGTTTATATTTCTGTCTGTCAACTTTTACCCTCTCAAAGTTTGCAGGAATTAGCACTGGGAAATAGCAACACAGGTGATAAGACTGCAAAATTGGGCGTCAATACTTGAAAACCCTTGTCTTATTTTCTGAATCTTCCAAATAAAAGCAGTATTGTTGGAAGGGAAGAGCACACTCCCTGTGAGACCATGTAGGTAAGATTACACACTGCATCAGTAAAACTATTCTCAGGCCTTTAAAAAATAAACTCAATTGGATTTGCGACCCGTATACACACCACATCCACACAACAAAATATAGTCTCAATGGCATACACAAGCCAGGTGCATGGACCCAAACACACATTGCACCCATGAGATACAGTATTTTTGGGCATGAGTGCCTGTGCACACCTTCATACACTCACACACACATGCCATTTTGTCATTGCAGGAGCCCAGCTTGTTACATCATCTAGAGGGGAGTTTATCAGAGACTGATCAGCAGCAGCCTCCTCTCAAAGGCTGTTTTGTCTTCCTCTTGCCTGAAACTCCCTGAACCCACAGATTACCTTCCAGCCATGGGTATTTGTTTACCATGGCCTGAATTTGCAAGTCTTTATCATGGCTGCTTGCCGTCACTGAGGGGAAGTGCTTTACACGCAGCTTATCAGTGCCAGGAGAACTAGTCCACAGGTAATCCTGGTATCTACTTGACTAACATTTTAGTTTGTTCTCTCAGTTGTTTAATCAGGACATATAACTAGCAAGGTCAACACACTGAATATAGTACTATTCATATTTTTGCTAAATGCATAAACTGAGTATCTCATGGCAAAATGAAGGCAAAAGCAGCCTTAAACCAATATCTTTTAGACCATTTATTTTTGTCCACGTTCCGAAACTACCTTATCAATAATGACATGACAATGACAGATAAAACTACAATGAAAACCAGGATCCAAAATGTGAAAGAAAGGGAATATGTTTGCCCCTCTTGAGTTCACATGAGGGTCAGAAACAAGACTTTTTGGATGGTTGTATCATATGATAAAGGAATATTGTTTTCCCATTGTATCCAATTCGATGCTGCTCATTTATTACCATTACATCTGAGTTATAGAGCTAAGCTGATATTCAATTATATATACCTGTTACGAAGGTATATCCAGAATCCTCATAAAATGGCATATGTCCTTGCTCTTCTTGCAAAACACAAGCATGTATAAAACATATACAGTTGTAAAGAAACATACTTATCATACATTTTCTATATTTATATTTCCTGTTGTACAAGTTGCACAAGAAATTGTGTCAAGTCCAGTCCACCATCTCTGTTTGGAATAGGAATACAGCTTAGGTTAAAAATCTTTTTTATTGTACAACAGAGAGGGTATGTTTCTTCATCCAAATGGTTAGAAGAGTCTTTAAGGAATCCAGAAATACTGTTACAGCTATGCTTTTAAAAAGTGCTGGTTAACAACCTTCTGGGTTTTTCAAAGTTTGCTGAGTATTTATTTTTCAGAAATCAGATGCTTAGCTCTGTGACTCAAATGCATGAGAGGATCAAACTGGGGCAATACTAAGTCTTTTTTCATTTAAACTTTAACTTAAACAAGTAAGTAAGTACTTGTGACAGTTTCTCTCAATGGACAGTGTCCCCTGTATGTAAAATTTGTCACTTCCTGTATATTCCTTCTTTCACCAGTGGGGCAATTTCCTGAACATGGCCATGCTGACACCAGGATTTAATTTGGGCAGAAGGGGAGATCTGCAGCATGAGGCGGCTCTTCTCTATTTCAAACCCAACATAACAATCTTGGTTTGGGCCAGCTTTTAAGGTTTCGCAGCTGGGCAGAATTTCTCATCTTCTCATATCTCCTGCTAGAGTCCTGTGAGGGAGTGAGACCAAAGAGGGATTCAAGAGGGGAATTTTTCTGGGGAGAAAATATTAGAAGTGTACACAAGGAAGGATGAAGGAGTGGAGTGAGGCAAAGCTCGTTGGAATGACTCCCAGTCCTCACCACTGTCATGCAGAGACCACACAGCTCCAAAATGTTCCAAAACAGTTGGGATATGGAGGGGATAAACTGGGGGTATATGGTGCCTTTGATGGTGCAGCAGTTAACACTGCAGTGTCTGCTGAAGTGCTACTGTGTCTATCCTTCTCACCTGCAATCAAGAGAAATGCTTAATGATGTGAACAACCCACAATACATTAAAAAAGACACAAGCATTTTTCAAGACAACTCTTTTCAGATTACACCATTTTCTTTGGTTAACACAATCCTGGTTTCAAGTGTCACTTAGCAACCAGATATTATTCGCATTGGAGTTGCAAGCAATTAAGGGCAAGGTCCCCCAGGCATAAACAAAAGCAAGATCTCTCAGAAGAGATGCAGTGGTGGTAAGTTTGTCAGCTGTGTGGCTTTTCCATCAGGGTGATTCTTGTTTTAAGATACTAAGGAGAAAATATCAGGTTACTAGAAGTGCTGCAAAATAGACATAGACTGAGAATTCAGGATTCACCTTTTCCCTGCAGTGAACAAAACTTTACATGGACTGCTTAGCATAGGATTAAGACAGCAGCAGCCCTCTGGAACAGCACCCAGGCCTCTTCATCTGCAGCATATTCTGACGACGAGTGCCGTCCAACCACAGGATCCTGGCCTGTCTCCCAGCTAGCCCCGCTAATTAGTCCCCCTCTTCTGAGCTAATTGGCCGATAAAAAATGAGGATGGCCTCTTCACCCAGCCCAAGTGTTGTGCCACCAAATGGCAGTGGGGAGGATTATGCGGGCTTATGAGGCATGGTGACACTCAGCGAGAGCCACTCCTCTGCTATTAATTTCCTTGTCAAGCGGGTGGCCTCTGCTGTGTCACTCTGGTTTGTTACTAGACACGAGAAAACTTTAGCCTGGGGTTGACGACTTATTCTCATTAAATGCCTTCATATCCGAACTATTTAGCTGTGTTAGTTTCGTGCAGATTAACAATGAAATCATTCATTTGAGTGGATGATGAGTCCTGTAGGCGATATAAGTGTTACAGCATGTTACAGGCATCTTACTTTTGTGGCTTTTGATTTTCTTTGTACTGTTGAGAATGTGGATTAGTGATTCTGGATTTTCAAGGAAAACTGTCTGACAACATGCAAATCAGTGAGGCCAATGTTTAAAAAAAAATGGTATGGAGCGTCCTGGTGGTTTAGACACAATACTGTACTATGTAACCGCAACATACCGGTTTGATTCCAGCAGTTGATCTTTGCTGCATGTCATACCCCCCCCCCCCTTCTGTTTCCTCTCTGTCGCTACAGCTATCCAATAAAGGCAATACATGTCAAAAAACCTGACATTGAAAAAAGACAATCTCTGAAACACACAATATTACAAAAAAGGATAGTGCAAGCAACCTCCAGAACATTCTCAGATTGTCAAAGGAAGAAAGAAACAAAGAAACAAAGAGGAATAGAAAACTACCTGAAAAATAAATAAATAAATGTGTAGCCTACTATCTAATGTGCAACACACAGTATACTGAATATGAGAATTTGCTCTTGTGCCCCTTTTTTAAATATTTATATACATTCCAGGGAGGTTTTGCTTCACTTTTTTTATAGCTAGGCCTATAGGCTATTTAGGCCTATGGGCACAAGATCAAAATGTTAAAGGGAAAGTGATTAGTTCCTAGTCATACCAAAATAAAGTTAGGTCAATCTATAGAACATGCTGTTTCTAAAAAGAGTATGACCGAATTGTTTTAAGGATAAATTAAAAATTAAATTAGATCATAAAAATTAATAGGTAGGCTAGATAACGAAGTAGATATGTGAAATCGACTCAATAAAAGCAGCAATGGATGCACAGATAATGCCCATAGATTATGAGTTAGAGTAGCCTATGCAGAACCAAAAGAAAAAGATCTGTCTGTGTAAACTGTTTGATCCGGCTAGAATGAATGCAAACATGCGGCTGTGAGAGTTCAGTGAACCACTCAGCCTGAATACTATCAGAACATAACTCCTCAGTGTGGCAATCTCTTTCACCGAGGGCGCTTTGCTCCCTGGCACATGTCCAAACAACTTCCATAGGCTTACAATTAGATAATTTGCACATGCGGAGGACTCCGGTTATGAATGGGTGCATTCCCCCAAGTCCCGCCTCTTCCGTTCCCACAGACGGACCAATCAGGGGCGCAGATTGCGCTTCGATGGGACGTCACGTCAGCTGCCGTCGTGTCGGAATTGGAATGTTACCGACTAACAATCGGAACAACTGAGCACTCGGTAATTGAACACTAGGATCAAGGAATCCCGTCTTTATGAACATTTTCTCAGCTATTTACCCAGTCTGAGATTAGCGTTTGTTTCCTCGTGTCGACCGGATAACTTCGCCTGCTGCGGGGCTCCCCGCCGATCCGGTTTTTATTCTAAATCAGCGGGTATGTGTGGAGGTTGTAATAAATAAGAAGAGAAATGCAGGGATTCGTCAGGTTACAGTCGGACCGCTGAGCTTCCCCTGCGCTGCGACGCTTCCGCTGGTTTTTTGCTTCTCTTTACACGGGACCATGGAGTGATAAAAGAGGGGGGATAGGACGAAATCACCCCGAGGCATTTAGATCCGAGCGCCGCGGGCACAACGTCGGGTTTTTACACTCCCTGGTCAATGTGTTACCGAATTTAACACCCTAACCGGGGTATACCTTTCCGTCTGTGAGAGCCTCGGGGACCCCTGCCGCTGTTCATCCAGGGGGAGAGAGTTCCTAGACGACTGTCGGACAGTTTTCCATTTGAATAGCCCACACCGCCAGCCTGAATGAGAGTGAGAAGGAGCGCAGGGGAAGAGAGTCGCTGCATGTGATTGTGTCCGAGAGGGTCCGGTCAGCACTGGTCTTATTAGCTGCACCCAAGCCCCTCTGTAGGCACCGTGCGATATGGTGAAACTCTACAGAAGAGGGAGCACGGGACAATACTTTTAAAATCGCCCACATGCACTGGATCAATTGCTGGATTTGGGAACCGAATACGCAGAAGGGGGGCTGGGGATCCTTGGAGGCTGCCGGAGGATGGAGCGGTGTAGCCTGGGTTGGTGAGAGCCTAACTTCGGGCCAATTTACATTTCTTATTCCTAAACAACTCGCCCCTGTTCCCAGGACACATGCAGGCCAAAAAACGCTACCTGATCCTGCTCTCCGCCGGTGCATGTCTAGTGCTTCTCTTCTACCTCGGAGGGGTTCAACTTCCAGCGGCGGGCAGGAGCCGGCACGACCGCAGCCGAAATGGGTACCGGCCCGACCAGCCCTGGCCTCACTTCTCAGACCCTTTACATCTTTTCCTGCCCTGGGATCAGACGGACAACGAGGAGTACAACCTGCACATCTCCCCGACGCAGAAGAGGGACGTCAACACGAGTGTTTACAAAGGCAAACGCTGCCGCATGGACTCATGCTTTGATTTCTCTCTGTGTCAAAAGAACGGATTCAAAGTTTATGTTTACCCACAGCAGAAGGGGGAGAAGATCTCAGAGAGTTATCAGAATATTTTATCGACCATTGAGGGGTCCAGGTTTTACACCTCAGACCCCGGACAGGCTTGTCTGTTCGTTCTGAGTCTGGACACTCTAGACCGGGACCAGCTGTCCCCGCAATACGTCCACAACCTGAAGACCAAGGTTCAGAACCTGCCTCTGTGGAACGACGGCAGGAACCACCTCATATTTAACTTGTACTCGGGGACGTGGCCGGACTATACGGAAGACCTGGGCTTTGATATCGGTCAGGCCATGTTGGCCAAGGCCAGCATCAACACCGAGAACTTCAGGCCCAACTTCGACGTGTCCATCCCCCTTTTCTCCAAGGACCACCCGAGGACCGGCGGAGAGAGGGGGTACCTCAAATACAACTCCATCCCGCCTTTTAGAAAATACATGCTGGTGTTCAAGGGGAAGCGCTACCTGACAGGTATCGGCTCGGACACCAGGAATGCCTTACATCACGTCCACAACGCAGAGGATGTGGTGCTGCTCACCACCTGCAAGCATGGCAAAGACTGGCAGAAGCACAAGGACGCACGCTGTGACAAGGACAACGCAGAGTATGACAAGTAAGTTACATTTACTGAGCTGGTTGATTGGGGAAAGTGTTTGTTTTTTTATGTTCTCAAACTTTTACGCACCAAATCCGTGCGCATGGAGTTGTCACCCGCATCCAAAACAGCGCACCATGCGCGCATCCTTCAGGGTTCTCATGCTTTGGCACACATTAAATATTTGTGTGTTTGTGTCCTTCCTAACTGAAAATAGGGATTAACCAGTAAGAATATAAATTTACTTCTCCCTATAAAATCTAGATGTATAATTATATACATCTATACATGTACAATTCTAGACTAAGAAATGTAAAACTCTGGAAATATTGTTGATTAACTATCAATGATTGTGAGCCTTATAAAGATCTCCATCTGCAGGTCACAGTTAACCAACCTTTTTATGTCCTACAGCCTGACTGGTTTTTACCCTTCACTCCACCTCCTTGCTCCCTTTCAAGCATGAAGTAAAAGATCTCCAGCCAGTCTATTAGCTCCCTGGACAACCCCCCTCCCTTTCCTATGAAGGAATTCACCCCCTCCTAGCTCCAGTCCATAGAAGCACAGAAGCAGCCTTTACCAGGATATGCAGGGACACGTTTGATTTGCACCCTGTACTTAGTGCAAATTAAGTGAAAGTTGACGGTGGGAGTTTTTGCTCATAAAGTAGTATCAGTGATACGGTGACCCTGTCATGGCAAAATGCTGCTTCCCTTTTAAAAGTGCACGTAGTGTAGTTTACGTACGCTGTGGTGTGTAACATGTTTGGTTGAATTATGAGGTGATTTTGTGCGAATAAATCAGTCATAATGGGTTAATTATCACCTTCATTTCCAGTTAGTGCCATCTTTTCCACTTAGCCCCCAGGGACAGTTGATTACCTCTAATTTTAGAGGTCTCAGTTTTGTCAAGGTGGTAATTAATGATTCCCCCTTGGGATCAACAGCTGTACTTGAAGGCTTGGTATTTTTTAATATGGAAGCCAGTGTTTGATGTTTACGTAGTTGGTTGATGTGTTGAACTCCTCTATCAGGTTCTCTTGTCTGTGAGTGACATCGGGTCGATCTACATTTATCCACCTGTGTACACTGTGACTTTGTAAAACCTGGAAAACTCAGAAATGCGATAACAGCACTTGTCGTCATTGTTCCGAGTAGCTGAGTCCATGTCAAGGTTAAGGGAAAGGACACATGGCGAGCATTATGGACATTTAACCTGCACATATTTCTGTTCAATCAATCAGAAAAGACAAGAAAAGGGAGCTGTGGGGCAAGATAAGGAAGGTTTTTAACCAAACATACGTTGGGTTGAGGGAGGAAGCGACTCTCCTTGAACTTGACATGAACTCAAAAACTTTCAGCTCCTCACAGACACACTGATAATGCAAAAAACAGGGACCTCTAACAAAACTTCACAAGCATGCACTTGTCTATCCATTCGTCATCCCCCCTCTCTCTCTCTCTCTCTCTCTCTAACACACGCTCATTCACTTCCCCCACTGTCTCCCTGGATGCCTTGGGCTCGGTGTCACCTGGAGAAAGATATGTCATCCATTATCTGACATTCCAGTTGTCTCTGGACAGCCCACCCCTGCTCTGCTCTGCTCACGGCTCTGTTTCCCAGCGGACCAGGCCTCATTTTCCCAGAGGTAGCTCTGACTCTGGAACATCTCTGTACTGTGATCAGCTGATTGACACAGCTGATCACAGTGGGTTCAGGGGACCCAGAGGTCTCGCTGCCCACCCTTTCCACTGTAGTGTGTTTCACAGATTGATCAGTACCTCTGCCTTTCAGTCATTTCATTGTCAGCGTCGATACTGCCTTTGATTTCTGTCCCTGCTAAAACTCAGTAAATCCATTCCATTCAACACTTTTACAGTGTTAGCAAGCAGTTTGCTTTTAATTTTTATACTGTGTTTTAGAGTTGGTATTGCTGGTCCTAACCTGTGCTTAGATTGCCAGTCCACTTTGGCATCTGAAACCAATACATTTAAAGCATTTTTTTCTGTTATGTGATTTAGCAGCCTTTTTTAAATTTTAGCAAACTGATGCCTTTCATTTTAATCTAATTTAAACCCCTTGGGTGCCCTTGTTTTGCAAAAACCCTGATGTAGCTCCCTCAGGTAAATGGATCTATATGCAGCTGGCCCGGTGTGAGCGTCCCATTTCCACAGGCTAAGGACGGACAGACGATGCCTTGCAGGGTCGCTGTGATGAAGACTCAGGAATGCTCACACGTGTCAGAGCAGCTGTTAACAGTTGAGGAAGGAGCACTGCCAAGGCAGGCCGATTATACAGTATATGTTCATACCTGGATGCTCTTTGAATGTAGCCTGACACATACTGATGCGGCCGGCTCTGGCCTTATCCACTCAGTTGCTTGCAATCAATATGCACCCACCCACCGAGCACAAACACACCCCCACACATAAATACATACATACGCACTGCCGTGGCTGGTGCTGCAGAACTATGCCACACCCAGGCTCATCTTTGCCTCCTGACCTTTGACCCTGTTGCCTTCCAGGGGAATGCTGCTCTTCAAAGGAATGCAGCAGCAGGAGGTCAGACTGAAAGCCAGTATATGGATACCTGAACCAGCACAGACACACACACACAGACACACACGCACAGAAAAGCACCACACACCGCACATTTATTCAATTGATTTTCTTAGCTGCAAAAGCTTTCAATTGGAGTCACTCTGGTCCACTTCCATGGCCAAGCGCTGATGAAAGGGCCCATTCACTGCTACATTATCCACTGAGTTTTCAGGGCTTTCTGACAATGATCCTGGCAGAGGACAGTGAAAGGCTATTACAGTCTCGACAATTGAAAAATTTCACGTTAGGTGGGATTTTGCTGTAATGCTATGCCCTGTGGTGACTAAACCTCCTATAACGGCATACTCCTAACTAGATATGTGATAGTTTCTGTTTCCAACTTTGTGATTTCAGTGGTGGGAAATTAAGTTCTCGTTTGTTCTAAATAGGAAGTCAAATTGTGTTGCTTCTTGTTTCAGTAATGAATCATTTCAGGCATAGATTTTCCATTGTACTATGTAACTGAAGGGGACTAAAAGTCATTCTAATTTGTCCTACGCTTATATACATTTTTCTCTATGCAATGGCATACTTATCTCCATATAGCTCAACATTAAATTCAGCATTTAAGTACTTTAAGTGCTGCCTGTTCCACTGCCAGGCAGATTATCCTGCAAAAATCAGAAGTGCATTCTCATCTAATATGATAGATGAAGAATGGATGTACTTTATTGATTCCAAACTGGCAAATTGTTGTGTTACGGCAGTGGGATATCCAGGCATTGCAGGGGAACAGTAAATACACAATAAATATACATATCAACACTATAAGAGAGAAAAATGTATCAATAGAAAAATAAAACGCAACAAATTAAAAAAAACATAGCATCCTCCATAAATATAATAACATATAATGATATAGAATGTATAGCATACACAATATAAAGAATATATTAGAATACACTAACATACTACATTAGGCAAGTGTGCAAAGCTGTTGAAGTTATCACGATTCACTTGCTTAAAGTACACCATTATTACTATTGAGTGTTCCATTAAAGTACAACTGCACATATTCCTTTTATTTTCTCTTTGTTAAGCCTTTCTCTGGCTAACTGCAGAATCATCATCCCCCATTTAATACTTAACCACCTTTGTTGGCTCATATTGACTTTGTACTTTAGCTACTTCACTGACGGTTGCCGCTCAAGGTCACCCGGGGGACATGAAAACAGAAAGAGAAAGGAATGGGCAATAAAGATAGAGAGGTTTAGAGAATGAGAAAGTCAAGAGGAGATACAGAAATTGTGTGTGTGTGTGTTGTATGTGTTTGCGCATGCCTGAAGGTGTGTGTGGAACGAGAAGACGAAGAAACGCAAGTGGGTGTGAGATTGAGTGATAATATATGTCGGAGTGTGCTGCGTGAGTTGGGATGAAAGAAATGGAGAGTCCAGAAAATTGTGCGTGTATTGGGGTTTTTCCCCATTAGGAGTCAATGACAGTAACATCAACCAAGCGTTTTCATTCTCACAACTGTGTCATCAGCAGAAATTTTCCCACTTGAGAAAATTCTCTCAAAAGCACGAGTGGCTGAGAGCGAGAAAAAAGGGAAGGAGGCCAGCCTCTTGTCCTCCTTTTTTTTTTTCTCTCTGTTTTACTTTTCCTTACCTTTGCTTCTTTTTACTTTCCTCTTTCTCCTACCCTCCATACCCGCTTCCCTCTCTCTATCAGAACAACATGGAAACACTGATGTGCTTTGGCTCGAAATGGCACCCCGCCACATTTCCATTTCCCTCTTTTTTATTTTTTTTATTATGACGCTGCGGCGGTTGACATTTTGTTGACACAACACCACAGACAGAGAGGCAGAAGCTGATCTAGGCCAAGTGAAGAAACCCAGCAACATTTCCTCTCCACCTTATCGCAGTAAAACACTATTATGAGTGGGAATAACCGGCATTCACCTGAATGCCAGTGTGGCGACGTCGCCTGATAGTGAACTCCTGTTGGAGATTTGGAGTGCAGAGCGAGCAGCAAACACAGTGATGTTGTGACCTGGCTGTTTGGCAGGAGAGGGTGTCACACTCACCGGATTGCCATTGTTTGTGTTTCTGTAGTCAGATTAATAAATCATGAATATTTCATGATTGCCTGCTCTCTCTTAGATAAAGTACCACGCTTGTGACAGAGAATGTTAATGATGTGGAGGATAATAAGTTTGAATGCGGTGCAGCTTAATTAGGACTCTTTGATATTTTGGTGCGTACATGTGTGAAAGAGACAGATTTAAGCCCGTAACTAGATAAACCCTCTGTTTGTTACTTTATCTTATCAGGCCGTCTATCCATCTCACATCCCCTCTGACTTTCTTCACACTCTCTCTCTTCTCATTTTAACTGTCTCGTTTGTGTATTTGAGTTGCTTCAGCCTCATTTGGTGTTATCTGGGGCAAGTCACTGCGTTACATGAGAGAAG